TAGGGAAACTGTGCTTCTCTGCAGAAGGGAAGAAAAGACACTGCCTTCTGGTTTCTGATGTGTAGTGTGTGGTTTTCTTTCAGCTCGCTATCAGAATGAACTGGCAGGTGTGGACACAGAGTTGCTGGCTGAGCGGTTTTACTATCAAGCCCTTTCTGTTGCACCACAAATTGGTGAGTGAGCTACCATGAATTTTTAGTCGTTAAAATCATGTTGCCACAACCTAAAAACAATACTCTGTGATATTACACTGGTCATGTTTATATACTGCTGCTGAGAGGAGTGGTTTTATCCTCTGGTTAAAATTACTTCCTTCTTTGAGAATGTCTCTCTTGCTGGCAAGCCAAAGAGAGGAGTTAAAGCGAAGGTGCTCTTCGCCAGTGGTTTCAACTTACTCCGCTGATACCCTCTGAGAAGCTCAGACTTCCATGAATGTGGTAAAGTGCTTGCGTGGCTAAGGGAAGATCCAGTTGTCCATTGCCAGAAGCAGAGCGTTATTGGTCATCTCCATCTCTTTACCCCCGCAAAAAAATCTCACGTGTTGCCGTCTTCTTCAGCAGTGACTACTTTATGAGAACACATTGTGGCAAGACTTGAAGGCCTGTCTTGTCTTAGGAAGTGGTCAATTCCAGAAAAATGTTTTCACTGTGCTGTCTTTGCCGAGTTCTCAGAGTTGTTTGGCAGGCTGATCCCAAATACTAATAAGTGACAAAAATGTATGGACCACAGTGAGCTGGAACAGAACTCTTTAAATGCTGATACGATGATGTCTATGTCAAGAGGAACACAGAGTCAAGGCCATGGCATTATTAATACAGAGGAGGAGGCATTATTTGCTCTGTTTTCTTATGTAGATAACTGGCAGGAAGGTACGGAGGATCTAAAAGCACTATAAAACAGGAAAAAAACCCTGGGTGGTGAAAGGATCGAGTAGTCCAGACCTTTGTACTGCAGCTTTACTACTTTTTGTGTCTCCTGGCTTCCCTCCTGTGTGGAAATGTAGTGAAGGGGAAAAGATCTGCTTTCTAGCAGGGCCATTGGAGAGTTGTAAGTTAATGCCATTGCACCTCTCTTTCATGACAGGCATGCCCTTTAACCAGCTGGGGACGTTGGCAGGGAGCAAATACTACAATGTGGAAGCTACCTATTGCTACTTACGCTGGTGAGTGTGAGGATCTTGGCTTTCTGGACAGAGAATGAGTGCACTGTGATTGCTGGTGCCAGATTCTTTTCTCCTTTACTTTGGACTTGTGACTGTTTTCAGCAGATGAGTTTCAGGGGAGGGGGAAGAGAGATGGCTTTATTTCACCCTTGAGGAGGACTGATAAGAGCATGCCTTGGTCAGACCAAACCATCCCGATGGTCCCTAAAATACATGTGCAGGTCTGTATTTGAAGGGCAGGGTTTCATCTAAGACCTTCTGCCTGTGCTAGAGAGCCAGGTGTGAAGGGGAGTGGAGGTGCTGAGTGAGGCACCCCACATAGTGAGGTGGGTGGAATTCGGTTAACTGAAGATGGCCTTAAGGCGCGCATTTGAAAAGGTGTGTAAACATTGCAGATGGAGCTGCGGTGCACCTTGAAGTGAGGTTTGCAGACATCAGTGGGAGTTTAAGTAGCCCAGCATGTTCGAACAAAAGCACTAGGTACCTGTGTTCATGCTTAGATGCCTGAATAACTTTCTAGTGAATTAAAGGCATAAAATATGAGCAACCTTGTGGCATAGTAACTTTTGATGTGTTCTATTTTGGTATGTCAGTATCCAGTCTGAAGTGTCCTTTGAAGGTGCCTACGGGAACCTGAAGCGGCTGTATGACAAAGCAGCCAAAATGTATCACCAGTTGAAGAAATGTGAAACCAGGAAGTTGTCTCCAAGCAAGAAACGGTAAGAAGAAAAAGAAAAGGAGAGGAGTGCAGGCTGAGGGTTTGCAATGCCACCAGTGTCATCCTCTGGGTTGAGAGTAGCGTCTTTCTGGGAGGTGGGATCTGGTAGATGGCCCATTTGAGGCAGTGACTGTTCCCAGAATTTTGAGAGCCCCAGTCTAGATCCCATTCTTGATATCTCAGGTCATAATTTCAGGAGAAAAGCTAAAAGCTGGCTAGGTATAGAGTTTGAGGTGAGAGATTTTCTCACTCTCCCTGGAGCTGGTGACTGTTCATGAGGGTTGAGGCATATTGCTGAAGATTAGAAGTGTATAAGCTGTGTTTTTCCTCCAGTTTCATCGGAGTGTAGCTTTCCATTGAGACCTAATTTACCTATTAATAGAGCTCTGTTAGTCTAGTCCATCTTTATGACTGGGTACCTGCATTACAGTGTTTTCTTCTTAATCTTTTTAGAGGCAAAGACATTAAGAGGTTGCTGGTGAGCTTTATGTACCTGCAGAGTCTTTTGCAGCCAAAGAGCAGGTAAGGTTACGGCAGATTATATTTTCTATTGATAACTCACAATAGCAGGCATTCAGAATTGGAAGAGACTGTTCACTGTAGGATAACAGTGCCTGTCCTGAGGCTTTCTGCTGAAAGGTCCAAGACTTTAGTTTTCTAACCTCGCAGGGAGAGTGAAGAAGATTATCTTCCAAGGGAGGCTGAAATACCAAAGGGTTAAATACTTTCCAACTCTGGATAAATCAAGCTAGTAGCTGAGTGAATGCTGAACTCCTGCACCTTGCAGCTCATCTCTGTGCTGTACTATGACTTTAGCGTTTTCTTGCTTTGTTCAGTCATCAAATGCTTTTTCCTGACAAGCACTAGATTTGGGCTGATAGGACAGCAAAGAGTCACTGTCTGTACGTGTTCAGGGCTGTTCATTGCATTTGGAAATCTGTAACCAAATACCTTGTTCAAAGAAACAAATAGCATAACCTGTTCATGTTAGAATAAAAGGAAAGCTTTGTATAGTTGTGCGATTATTTTTTTTTGCTTAGTTTTTCTCTGTCTTGCTGGGAGGTTTTCATGTGATTGTAAATTAATATCTTACTGCTTGAAATAGAGCAGGTGTTTTAAAGGGCTTATACACAGGCTAGAGTTAAACTCATTGTGGAATAGTTTAGGTTGGAAAGGACCTTCTAGGGGTCCAGCCTTCCCCCAAAGTAGGGTCCGCTGTGAAGGTGGATTCAAATGTGAAGTCAGATGAGGATGCTCAGAGCCTCCTCCAGCTGAGCTTTGAATGGATTTAAGGACAGAGGTTCCACACCTCTCTGGTCCCCCTTCCAGTGTTTGACCACCTTCACTGTGGAATTGTTTTCCTTGCATCTAGTCTCATTTTCCTTTTCTGCAGCTTGTACCCATCGCTTCCCTTCCTTTTGCTGTGCAGCATTGAGAAGAGTCTTACTCAGTCTGCTATAACCACCTATTTGGCATCTGAAAACAGAAGATTTTACCCCCCAAGCCTTTTCTCTTTTGAGCGGAACAAACTCGATTGTCTTTGCCTATTCTCATATGTCATGTTTTCTACTCTCCTTATCAGTCTTCTGCTGGACTAAGTCCAGTTTGTCAGTGTCTTTTTTGTTTGGTTGGGTTTTTTTTGTAGTGGGGACACCCAGACTGGATGCAGTACTCCAGATGCCATCTCATGAGTGCCAAACAGAGAGGGATAATAATTTTCCTCAGCCTTCTGGCTGTGCCTTTGCTAACGCAGCCCAGTATGGGATTAGCTTTCAAACATTATACCGGAGTGGAACTTAAAGGTTCATTTAATATCTGCTTAACACATATTTAGTGCATAAGAAAACTGGAGATTACTTCAATTTACCAAGCAAGTTGCCCCCTGAAAAGGATTTGCTAGCTGTTTGCAGACAGGTTTTGTAACTAGGAGACTCCCATAGCCCATTATACTGAATACCGTGGGTGCTTTCTTTGAAGTAGCTAATAGCTACAGAGGATTTTGGAATATTCTTACAGGACTGTAAATTGGAGCCACGGGAGGAGGAAAGGTTGAGTCCCCAGTCTGCGTGCTGTGATGTAATCCTTTAACTGAGCAGTGGATCCAAAACTTTTGCTACCTTTAGCACTACCTGAGTGCCCTGTGTATCTTAATGGCTACTGCTTGAGCTCCCAGGGAGAAAGTCATGCATTTCGTTGACCCATCTTTTTGCAAGGAGGTGCTCTAGTTATTGTTCGCCTTTAGTTTAGTTGCTTCTAAGAGGAAAACATAATCTGGTTCTGCTTCCCATAGCTGTTGCCTGCAGTATATTCTCTGGTACTTCATCCTATCTAGTGCTAAAGGATAGCGTAACTGCCAGTTTTGGTTCGGTTTCCATGCAGACATTGCCAAGCGCTCGAGTCTTGAATAATAATACTTGTTGTTTTTTTCCTGTTAAGCTCTCTGGATTCTGAGCTGACATCTCTCTGCCAGTCTGTGCTGGAGGATTTCAACCTGTGCTTGTTCTACCTGCCTTCTCCTCCTAATCTGAGCTCAACTAGTGAAGATGAAGAAGAGTATGAGAGTGGCTACTCCTTCCTTCCTGATCTCCTGATCTTTCGCATGGTGATCATCTGCCTTATGAGTGTTCACAGCCTCAAGAGGGCAGGTAACCAGTGTTTTATTCAGCCATTCAGAAATCTAGTGATTAACATTCAGCAGTCCAGTTAGGCTGAAGATGTTGTCTTAATTGGCATTCATGTTTTGAACTAGCGGTCAGTCTTCTCCACCTCGTTACGCTCTCTTGTTGCAGGTTCAAAGCAGTACAGTGCAGCCATCGCTTTCACGCTGGCCCTCTTCTCTCACCTGATAAATCACGTCAATATTCGCCTGCAGGCAGAGCTAGAAGGGGAAAATCCAGTCCCAGCCTTTCAGAGTGATGGTACAGGTAAGAGAACAGACAGCGTAAGCTGGGTCTCCCCAGTTGCCTGCCTATAGGGCTGGTTTTTACTTTCCTAAATCTCCCAGGCATGGGTTTTGTAGTGTAGTGCATGAGTGGTGTTAGAGACATCTTGATCTTTGACTGCTGGGCTGAAGTCCCCAAAGATGGGTATCTGCTGAGACCGCCTCCACTCAGACACTGTGAGCATCAGAGTCATCACAGGATGAAAATGCTGCTTTCTTTGTTGTAAGGGGTTATCTTTGTGTATCTCTTGGCAGCTCATTCATCATCTGTTTACCCCAATCTGTGCTCCTTACTTTCTGTCTCTCTATTTGCTGTTATTTACTTGACTCTTTTCTCCTTCACTGAGGAGATGATCTCAGGTGAAACACCTGGGCAGAGCAGTGTCTGAGGGAGGCAGGCGCTGCTCAGCACACCTCATCTGTGCTCAGACAAAACCAAATCTTTAGTTTCTGGGGGATCCTGCTGAGCGGAGAATAAAACTGATGAATCTTTCCCCCGCAAACAGTCAATCCGTAATATTTCACAGAACACAAGATTAGAGTTTTCCTCGTCAAAAGCAACAATTAATGACTCCTCCCCTGCATGGGTTTTGAAGCTGTCAGGGTGACACAGGGCTGCTGGAAAGTCTGGGAGCATGTTGGTCAAGGAAGGGATTAGGTCCACTCAATCTAGTTACCAGGTGGAGTGGCTGGTTTAATCAAACTGGCACATGCCTTTGCCCTGCTTGGTGGGTCACTTGGTTCTCTGACTGTGGGAGACTGGGGAAAAGATTTAAGATTCAAGTGTGTATTTTATGCTGGTTAGCAGCATTCAGCACTGAAGCTGCCTGATAACGGAGCAGCACAGCTTTGGGCGGTTGGAATCCAGGCTTCCCAAGTCTTTCTGGGCACATCTAAAAGGAAAGTGAGTCATTCTTCTAGGGTTTCCATTTCAGTGATGGCTGAAATTCACACTATTGGTTCCCTGGGCTCAGGGCTGGCAAGTGGCTTGTGTGACACATCGGGACTTTCTTAACTTGTGGTCTCATTTTAAATGCCTGCAGATGACCAGGAGCCGCAGGAGCTATTGAACTCGATTGAGAAGGAGGCTGAAGTTGACTTGGCCAATCATCAGCCCAGTGAGGAACAACGGAAGAATGACTGCAAAAAAAGCAAGAAATACTCCCGCCTCTCCTGTTTGCGTCGCCGCCGCCACCCCCAGAAGGTGGATGAGAGTGACCTGAGTGAGGGCTTTGACTCTGACTCCAGCCAGGGCTCCATAAAGGGCAGTGATGGCTCAGAAAGTGGCTCAGAGAAGAGTGACGAGGAAGCAGAAGCTGCTTTTGATGTGGAGACAGACTCTGACATGAACAGCCAAGAATCTCGGTCCGACTTGGAGGACATGGAGGATGAGCCGGGTGAGGGGGGAAGTGGTCGAGGCAAAAGCAGGCCCAAAGAGGCCTTAAAAAACTGTGTGGATGGCAATGGGCTAGGGGACTCCAAGAGCCCAAGCATCTCTAAAATAGAGGCTCTGGATCCAGCAGTCAATGGGCCGGCTTCCCTGAGCACTAATGATGCAAGCATAGCCAGTAATCTCCAGGCCATGTCCACCCAGTTGTTTCAGACCAAACGCTGCTTTCGCTTGGCTCCCACGTTCAGCAACATCCTTCTGAAACCGAACAGTGAACCACCTATCTTGAAGGATGGACTAGAAAGCAAGCCATGTGTCAATGGAGATCTGGAGAAGCCCAGCTTGGCAGAGCAAGGTAAGGATCAGCCACCTCGTTCAAAATATTTGTTGTGGCAGCTCTGTGTAGAAAACTGCAAGCTGTAGAGTCTGTTTGCTAAAATCCGCCCCTTCTCATGGTGCAAGTTCTCCTTCGGCCAAGTTTGGAGAAGCAGGTTGCCCAGGTACTGGGCAGGTTTTGGGTTGGGTGTTTCTTGAAGGAGAAGCTTTACTCTTACTGCCTGATGTTCAGGAGTACATCCACTGAGCAAAGGAAACACCCGCAACCAGCCAGGGTTATGTGTTGGTCTGCTCAACAGACTAAATGCTGAGCAGCTCTGATAATACAGAGGATAATTCAGCAGGTATTAAAAATTTGGATTATCTTCCTTTTTCCCATGGGAAATATCTGTAATCAGACACTTACTAGCACTTGTGGTGATGGACAGTGCCGATGCAATCTAGGAAGTTCTCCATAAGATGTCAGATTATCAACCTGCAAAGCTCTCACAGGAGCTTGTCTGTAAGATGTGACCTAGGTGCATGCGAGAGGAGTTGAGGGCCTCTTTCTGTGACCCTCTGAATGCTGCCTTGCTGAGTGCTCAGGGCTGAACCAAACTGCAGATGCACAGCAGGTGGAGCTGCAATGTCTCTATTACCACGCAATTTACACAACTGAGTAATGTTCTGGGAAAAAACAGCTTGAAAGGGAGATCTGATGCACTACAGGGAGTTGTTTATATTTCAGATAAAACCACATGGGCCTTTTCAGTCTTGTTTGTCATTCCTCCCAGCTTCCCTGGAGCAAGGAAACATTTTTGCATTGTGCTGCCAAATTCAATGGGCCTGCAGCACTGGCAAGAATCAGGCTTTGCCTGGGCCAGGATTTGAAGGGGGAGTATTAGATCATGTTAATGTTTACTGGCTCTCAGCATTGCTTCGTAGCCACTTGAAAGAGATGCGGGTAAAGGAAGAAGCAAACGATTTTTAGTCTGTTTAACGTTTTCCTTCAATGGGTTACACAGATGTTGCAGCTCCAGGAATGTATTTGAATAGTGTGGCCATGATACCTTTAAAGATGTAGAAAATGAGAAGTTGAATGAGCCAGGTTGAGTGAATTAACCCATGTGCTTTTTAGCTTTGAGCTCTCCTTGCCTCAACTGTGCTGTTTCAAAACTCGAGCTATTTAATGGTCTTAACACTCTGTCAGGGATGGTTACTGAATAAATTACTTCCTCCCTTTTGATTCTGAGGGTTTATTGAATGATAATTGATATGCTAATAGGCAGAAATGACTGTGCAATTAAAATAAGAGACAGTAGCAAAATGCGTCGTTGATTCCCAGCTTGCTACTACCTTGACCTCTGGTAGGTAGCATGCAATTTCACTGGCAGTGGCTTTGAGATCCTCACGTCTGTAGAACTGCAAGATTGCAAACCGTATTCAATATTTCAAATCACCTGGGCCCTGGCTCATGAAATAGCCCTATCAGTTCCTTTTCTTGCATAGCGCAAAGATTGGTGCACGTTGACCTAAACAGTGATCACGGGCTCTTTTCTTTGCAGTAAATGGTACGGTCCTTGTGCTGGCACATGCTGCTTCCCCCGGCTCAGCTGGTGAGCGTCGCAGAGGCTGCTGCAGGGGTTAAGGCGTTTGTCAAACTTTCACAGGGAGATTTTAGCAATCTTCTCCTAACAAGGAAGAAAATACAACAGTGATACACTCTTATCACTGCACAGGGGACAGGGAACTGATTTCATGAGAATATGTGGAGGCACCAAGAAGTTCAACTCAACATTTACCAACCCAGTGCTGTTCTCGTACCAGTCGGGCTTGGCTTCTCAAGGGGTTTAATGCCTGCCATCCTGCTTTCCCTTCATTTTCCAGATGATGTGTCTGACTCCGAAGAAAGCATTTCAAGTAACAAATCCTTCAGGAACGAGCGATCCCTTCAGGAGAAGCTAGAGATCGTGACCAACGAAGGGCTGCTTCTCACTGTCAAGGTGTTCCTGGACTGGCTGAGGACAAACACGGACCTCATCATCATGTGTGCTCAGGTGGTTACCGTGCTTTGTGTTCGGTCCAAGGCTGCGTCTGTTCAGTTCCCCTGGACTGGGATGATGAGGGCTGGGATGAAACTGCTGTCCCAGTCCTGGACAGAAGGTGATGTTAAATACCCTACCAGCTGAATTAAGATAATCTTGACCTAAGAAGTGTAGTGAAGTTTACTCTGTATAAAACGTTCTGAGGTCTGTGAAAGATTCTGGAAAGCCCAAGCGGCCTGGTTGTTGCATACGTCTGTCTTGACATTTTCTGTGTCCTTTTGTGTTTTGTTCCTGCAGAGCTCTCAGAGCCTGTGGAACAGGCTGTCTGTGCTCCTGAACCTTCTGCCTTCTGCTGCAGACCTGCAGGAGTCAGGTACTGGAGAAGAAAATGGCAATGTAATGTTTCAGCAAGCCTAGTCATCAGTGATTTCTATGGTGTGTGATAGATCCCAGGGAGAGAGATATACTAGTAGCAGTTTGCTTATAAGCACAACGGGAAGCGACGTCATGCACGTGTTGTTTTTGTGTTTAAACACCATTCCAGTTAAATACTGTCCCGTAGACTTTAGCTCTATTAATTCATTATCTATGACTGACAGTATACTGAAACACTCAACATCTGTGTGCATGAAGTCCTTGTGTGGCCAACATGATTGGAATTAACTGTCAAGACCATACCTTTTTGTTCCTCCTTCAACACATGCTCCCAGTACATGTGTAGCTTAAAGCTTCTGCCCCTGATCATTACAGACTGTGTACCTTAAAGCAGTTTTCTTCTTTGTCCCCACATCAGTTGTTTAAGTCACCATATATTGCTGTGCTTCCCCTCCATCCTCTCCAGGGCTGGCCCTGTGTAATGAAGTCAAGGACATTCTGGGTGGTGCTGAGCTCCCAGACCTGAAAGCCAACTTGCTGCTCCCAGAAGATGTGGCCCTGCGAAATCTTCCCCCTCTGAAAAATGCACACAAGAGGTTTAACTTTGAGCAGGACCGGCCCATTTTCTCAGCAGTTGAGGAGGTGAGTCAGGGTAAATCCTGAATCTTGGCACAAGCTGCATTTCCTTTTCTGGAGGTGCAGCCTGTCTTAGCTGTGCAGCCGAAGATCTAGTTCTTTCTTGCCAAAAAAGACCCCGAACTAATTCAAACTTTTGAATCTAAGGTGGGTTCATGGCATTGGTGGTTGCTGCAGTCATCTGCGTATCCAAAATCAGTGTTCAGAAAATTGCCTTGCCTTGCCTTCCCTGTCAGAGTCATTACAAAAGGAAGCAGAGTCACATGTTGGCAGCTTTGCTGCATGAAGTCTCCTGACCTCCCTGTCTGGGCAGAAGAGTTATTATCGCTGCCCTGTCTTGAATGAAAGGAATTTGGTTGGAGCTGCAGGATACTTCCTGTGGTCCTTCTCTAGTAAATGCAAAAGTCAGTGAAATCTCCCTTCATGTGGCCCTCTGTGCCCTCGTAAAGCACTTCTGTCTGTTTTCCCAAGCAGAAAGGACCAAGGTGATTGTTTCTGGGTAGTGGAGGTGTGCAGAAAAAGGCAATTGTTCTTCTTGTATCTTGCCTTGCTAGACCAATCCGCTTCTTTGGAGCAGGGAATATGTTAACATCTTCTGCCTTGGTTTGAGGGCACTGCGCTGATGTGTGCCGTGGGATCCATGTTTGTTAAATCACAGTCCAGCTGACTGAGGTCTTGAATGTCATCTCAAGCTGCCGGGGCAGCTGGAGCAAAGTGCAGCAATCTCATATCCCATGTGAGCTCACCATTTGCTGCCTTTGCTTATTAGCTCAACCGAGAGTAGTGCCTGCCTCAAAATCAGATATAAATTGTTGTTTTATTTGATTCCTCTTCCCAGCACTGAGGGCTTGAGCAGAGATTTATCAGGGAGAGCCTGTTGAGGTTTTCTGAGGTTTTCTTGAGCTGGGGAAACCCAGACTGCAAGAACTTCTAAGTTTTCTGGCCACCTGTAGGCTTTCCTGCAGCCCTCTCCTGCAGTCTCTGTCTTCAGAAGCACATTTGCATCAGAAGTGTTTCCTTTGGATTTTTTTTAATAGCAGTTGCTGCCTCTTCCAAAAGCGTGAGCTGCAGCGTCGGAGCTGGCTCAGGCTACAGCCGCCATGGGGAGACGTGGCTGGTGATTGCCTGTCTACTTCTTTGCAGTCTGTTGTTCGGATTTGCTGCATTCGGAGCTTTGGCCACTTCATCACCCACTTGCAAGGCAGCATCCTGCAGTTCAACTCGGAGCTTGGGATCTTCATCAGCATAGCACAGTCAGAGCAAGACAACTTGCTGCACCAGGCCCAAGCCCAGTTTCACATGGTGAGTTGGCAGAGGTGGGCTAATTCTCTGTACAGTTTTCTGTAGATTGTAACTATAATCACACATCTTTGGTGGGAGATGAAAGTTTTGCTCCTTAAAGCAACTCAAGTGTCCCCTTTTCACCCTGTTTCTGGAAGCATGTGCTAGTGTCAGCTTGTGTGTTTCCTGCTAACTGATATGGAAGTGTTTGGGGTTTTTTTTTGTAACCAGGCTGCAGAGGAAGCTCGTCGGAACAGGCTAATGAGAGATATGGCTCAGCTTCGACTGCAGGTAGGAGATGCTGGTTCCAGCCTGAAAACTTGCAGGGTAGTGGCTGAAATGTCTGAAACTAGAAAGGGAAGGGGGGGCACCCTGTTCTCATCCCACACAGAGGTAGTAAATCTGTTCTGCAAAGACAGAATCATAGAATATCTCGATTTGGAAGGGACCCGTAAGGATTACTGAGCCCAACTCCCTGCTCCTCACAGGGCTACGATACTAAACCATATGCCTAAGAGCATTGTCCAGACTCTCCTTGAACTCTTGGTGCCCTGGGGAACCTGCTCCAGGGACCGACCACCCTCTCAGTGAAGAACCTTTTCCTGATGTCCAAACTGAACTTGCCCTGGTGCAGCTTCATGCCATTTCCCCGTGTCCTGTCGCTGGTCACCAGAGAGAGGA